TTCTGCGTTTCTGCGTTTTGTGTTTCTGCGTTTGTGCATAAATAGTTTCTTGCATGCAAGGGAAAATAGCGTCGGTTAGGTTGGTGGTGTTGTATCATGGAGCTGCGTGGACCTCCAACATGCAAAATTATCAATTTTGCATGAAGACCAGTCGTTTTTCTGGTGAGCGGTTGTTCATCGAAAAATGCAAGTTTGACAAAGCACAGAATGCCGGTACAGAAGGATTACGAAATCCGCAAAAAGCACTCAATTTTGAGGATGCGATAAAGTTGAGCATTTCCCACATTCTTGTGCAAGGAATGTATTTGCATCATACTTGAATGCAAAATATCCTTGCAAAGTTGCAGCCTCGCAATTTTCAGTAAGCGAAATAGTCACTTTGCTACAAACATCTTTGATGTGCCCTAAGTTGCAGCGCAAGTAAGAATCGATACTCATTTTAATTATACGATTTCCCAGATGAACTAACAATATTCTGGTAAATTTTCAGCTTCTTTTTCCTGCTATTTTTCGAGCTTGCACAGTGGGAACTATGAACTTTGATGTGATTATATGCATGATATGAAAGCACGCAATAGTCGAACTTGCAATCTTTAGCTTACATATGCACAGAGAATATCAGTGTAAAATTTCAGCTTTCTGGCTTGTCTGATTTTCGAGATCGTTCCTTCGCCACAAAACTATGCTTTTTCGGCACCTGTACGTGAAGTCCAGACGCAAGTGAGCAATGTTTTCAGGCTGGTTGCACAGGTTCAGTCGTTGACCTCGAAGGTTTGGCACAAGAAAGCCCCACTGAAAACAGATGGCCTACAGTATTCGTACAAGTGGAGTGCAGGCAGTGGCGGATGTGGACACTCTTTCCTAAGGTATCGTCTGTTTTAAACTGAGTTTATATGAGAGTTTCATTACTGTCGGCATTATTAGCAAACACGCCGATGCGACATGGTGTCAAAATTAACAGCCGACTGTCGTTGCTCGTTAATGAGATGGTTGTTCCTTCAAGTTTGATATGCTTATGTTCAGAAAGTATGAACAAAGATGTTGAGGCACTGGAAGATTCAGAAGCGCTCATCCTGATATGTAAGCAGTTTGATGTTCCACCAAACATGTGAGTTTTGATTGTGATGGCGCCTATGCACACTGTTAACCAAACACATTTCTATGCGTTTTGCTGTGCAGTGCTATAGCGCTGCTGCAGCCAGCAAAAACGTATGCTGTCGAGAGATCGTCTGTGTATGTGTGTGTGTGTGTGTGTGTGTGCTCAGAAGCGAGTGGACTTTGTCACTCACCTTCATCTCAGCAGCTAAGAAAGCTGGGAAGTTGAAATTTTGTGTACATGCTCCTATCCCGTGGGTCATTCTCTCGTTTTAAAATTTTCGCTCATACGCGTTTAGCCCCCGCGTACGCACCCCCGAAAAAATATGCTAATTTCTTTGGCTGGAGACGATTTCGCGAACCAGGCAAGGTACAAAGCTAAAAATTTGCAGGGGTATTCTCTGTGACATGTGCGAACTAAGAATTTCAAATTCAGCTGCCGCGGACGCTTGTGCAGTACGTACAGTCACGTCAAAATTTGCACTTGACACTGTTCTAACTTGAAAACTAGCCGGAAAACAGTGACTGAAATTTTGTCATCATTTTTAGCGTCTATATGGGAGTTCATATACCTAAAATAAGTACCAATTTGCACTTACGCCACGATTAAAGGCACTTCAAAGATGTTTGTAGCCAAGTGGCCTATCGGATAAGATGCGAGGCTGAAAGTTCGCTGGGATATCCTACTTTAAGTGCAGCCTTAATTCTGCCTGGAAGTGAAATTCCCTGCAAGTGGGCATGAGAAATACTCAAATTTACCAGAAAATCAGAAATGCTGCTTTTTGCAGCGAACCGCGCTCATCCTCTTCCAATATTCGGCTCATTTAAATACTTGGATTTTTTGACGAACGACCGCTCTAGCAACATTTCCACTTTTTAGTGAAGAACTGAAATTTTT